CTCCCTCCCTCCCTCCCTCCCTCCCTCCCTCCTTTCCTCTCTTCTTACTTTCTTTCTTTATTTTTTAGTTAGCTTACCAACATGGACAATGACTGGTCTTGTGAATTAGCTAACTTGGTCATGCACTAAGATCTAAGTCTGGAGGAGAATTTTATCCTAAAGATAATTTGTTTCAACCTTATTATAACAGTTGAGGAAGTTGTTTCTAGAAAGCAAAAGAGTCACCTTGGCAGTTTGTAATGTAGGGCAAGGCATAGGTAAATGATAGAAACTAGGAACATTAAGAAGTGTCAGCTGAAACTTATTGTGCTCAAGTAGCCAGCAGAGCCTAGTAATTCAAAGTGAAGGACAGATGCAAAAGAAATGGGAACATAGCAGAGAAAAAGCCCGTGGATAGCATCACCTGCAGAGTTATTAAGTCAAAATTCACATCGAGCTGTGACTCACTTAGGGTAGTGATCATCAGAAATTCAACCTGTGTGACAGTTGGGGTGTTAATAATGCAAACGAAACAATCAAAGCACTGATAATAAATCAATGAGGTTTGCAAGCAAGCAGGGTTAACGAACATTAGCTAAGCTTTTCCCTGATGTAGCTAGGCATCTCCCATGTAGAGCTCCTGAGAGGCAGCCCCTGTTCAGTCCCATCCAAGACTTGGAGGAGCATGACCAATGTGAGCTTCATTATTCTGGAGGCTCCTTGGGGACTTGGAGCTAGCTACTGTGTAGGCTCCAGTACAGAAATGCATATCCATGGCACCAACCTCTTACTACCTGGGGAATTTGTATGTTTACTTTTTTATTAGAGAGGATTCTGATGGAGAAATATCCTAACACATGGACTGCACATGCACCTGTGATGTTCAATGACTGTAATGCCATGTCTGTCTGTGTCCTTAGAGTAGGTACACTGTGAGCGTCTGTTCCTGTCAGAGTAAATGTGTCCAAGGGTGTCGGGAAGTCCTGTCACAGTATAAATAATGAATGGCTCAGTGTGTTGTCAATGAGTGAGGAGGATTAAAGAGTAGAGGAGCGAAACCATTATACGTCAGCTTATCTTCAAGTTAACACTTGCAGTTGGCGACTTTGGATCAGTGTACATCAGTTCACTCCCTTGTGTTAGTGACTATGTGCCTTTCTTCTTTCAGAATGGCCTCGTTACTGGCTCACCCGAAATGTTTAAATTAAAGTCATGTATCCGACGAAAGACGGACTCAATTGACAAACGCTTCTGCTTTGACATAGAAGTGGTCGAAAGGTTTGAGCATCAGTTTCCACCTTGTAGTTTTTCCTTCTTTCTGTTTCTAAGTTTGAATAAGCACAACATGAAAAAATATAGTATTTGTAAAGAGGACATCTATGTGTTTACTTCACTCTTTCACATATTTATCCAGATGCATGATCTTTATTGGATGTATTTCCATTGTATGATATTTTTAAAAAGGAACAAGAGACCTTATGCTGGGAAAAAGTCAAAACAAAGAACCTGGAGAGTTGATATAATGGACATGTTAGTGGAGAGGGCAGAGCCGTCTGCACCCCAGCAAAGAGGGAGAGCCACAGCATTGTTCACTGGTTTCACACAAGCACTTTTATCATAATTTAAAGCCTAGTGGTCTTGCTACCAAGGAATAAGAAGCCTCCAGAGGGAATACCATTAACTCCACAGCTGACCAAGTTCAGTGCCTCTAGAGACCTACTGTGTGCATAGCACTGTTATATTTCTGCATGTTCTGGTTATAATTACACAAACTCTGTGCTTTTGTTATTCCATCTGTAAAATGGGGAAATAAGTCTACACCCCCAGGGTCTCCTGATGGTTAAATCAAATATTAAGTGTTCTTATGAACACACATACCAACATAAAATATAACCATCCAGAAAACATTGACTGCTGTTCTAATTGCGTCATTGATACTTTGACATTGACTTAAAACTCTGCAGCAAGGCTGGGCATGACATGCATCTGGAATCCCTGCACAGGATCCCAAGTTTGAAATATAGCTTGTAATACATAGAACTTGCCCCAGAGAGACAATAAACTCCATCACACCAGATCACCTGGGCCCTTATATACGCTTTTTTCTTTTCTTATCGTTCTAATGAGGTATTTTCATATCTACAGAAGAAATACAAGTAATTTGTTGTCAGCTTATGCTATTCCAAATTTTTAAGAATTTCATACTAGTAATGAAAAAATTTCCCAGTATTTGCAAATCTTTGTAATTTCCAGGCTAACTACATCAATTCTTTTATATGAGATAATTTATATAAAATTTTACATTATCCTCACACCTTTTATATGGTGCCTTCTTTTATATGGAAATAATACATCCTTAAGTAACTATTTCAAGTGGCTGCAGGGAAGAGATTTGGGGACACTGTTTATTGAAACGGCCTCACTCAGTACTCAGCCTGTGTGTGTAAGCCATGAGGCCTCAGCCTCCCAGGTGCAGATCACACCCGCACCTGACTTGAGGAGTATTTTCAGGGAATTCCTTTTAACACTGTGGTCATGGTGCAGAGAAACACTGAGTATGTAATCATTGGCTTGTTGTGAGCTGAGGCTTCATACACCATCATTGTTAGTAACTAGCTGGTGCCACATCAGGGTCCTGAGCTTTGAATATCAGGTAGCTTTGAAAATCATTGGATATGCATTTGCCATCTTTTTTTGACCATTTCAGGGGACATTGTTTGAACTAATTTCTTCAGACAGCCCTGTGCCTCACACCTTCATGACTTACCTGTCATTATTTAAATTTAAAAAGTGTGTGTGCGTGTGTTTTTTCATGTGTATATGTGTGCATGTATGTGTGTGTGTGCATGTGTGCTTCTGTGCATGTATGTGTATATGGGTGTATCTGTGTGTGCCTGTGTGAGTGTGTATGTACATGTGTATGTGTACATGTATATGAGTGTGTATGTGTATGTTTTTGTGTGAGTATATGTATATATGGGTGAATGTGTGTGGGGGTGTGTACAGTGACTTTTCTGAAAGACACTTGTAGAAAAAATTTTCTAGTTTTCAGTTTCCCCTTTTCTTCATTGCATTTGATCTTATTTTTTTCTTTTCCAAATTACGGCTTTATAATTAACCAAGGACTTGAAAATTTACAAATGCAAAAGGGCACAATAGGATGAATTTGACATTTAAGAGTGTCTGTCTGTCGGTAGGCATGGCATCATTACGCTACAGGCATTCTCTGAAGCTAACCGGAAGCTCTGGCTGGAGGCCATGGATGGAAAAGAGCCGGTAAGAGCGACATCATCTCTAACTTGTGTTTTACTCTGAAGCTCACAGAGCACCTCTGCGTGTGCCTTCTCTGTGTATATAGCGTAGCTGGGAACGTTAAAGTGACGAGTCAGATGGCAGTCGCCCGTCCTGCTCTCCTGTGTCAGCTCAGCCACAGGCATGCAATCCCACTTGTCATTTGTTTTCCGGGAGATTTCCAAGACTGATGTACAACCCTAAAATTACTTTAAAATATTTATAATCATTAATTTGGCTGCATATCTTGCATCATTTTATTGAGTTACTATTAAGATTATGTGTGGAGTCATCCTCTGGTCCAGGCCATTTTAAAGTACAACGGCTTAACAAAACTGTGGGGGGAGACATCCGCTTTGGTTCACATCCTGTTTGTAATAGTCATTTTGATGTCTGTGTTGTAATTTACTCACAGACGCCAGGGGCGAAAGAGAGAGGTCATTAGTTGCTCTTTGCTTTCTTACTGACCACTGTTCCTGGGTCTGTTGAGTGACAGCACACAGAATAAACAGGAGGTGCTGTCACATCACTAGAGAAGGTTCCATTCATGGCAGAGAACACAAGAACAGATCAAGCTAAATGCCTGAGCAATGGTGCCAGGGTAGTGTGCTCTGAGACCATCCCTTTAACCCTGTTCCAGTCCACAATCAGATGAGCCCAGACACTGTGAGTAGAATTTAGAGGATCATGTGAGCACACAAGGATGTGATTTTAAGTCCATCAAATTAAATAATGAGAAGATCTGGCTCTCTGTTTATTATTTTCCATTTCTACTCTATTGTATTTTACAATGTCAGTCAATCAAAAATCAAGAATGTCAATCAGAGGTAGATTTTTAAAAATAGTTAAACTTTTCACCAATGGTTAAGAAGTCTTGACTGGGCTGGAGAGGTGGCTCAGAGGTTAAGAACACTGGCTGTTCTTCCAGAGGTCCTGAGTTCAATTCCCAGCAATCACATGGTGGCTCACAACCATCTGTAATGAGATCTGGTGCCCTCTTCTGGAGTGCAGGAAAAATAAATTATAAAAAAAAAAGTCTTGACCTAGAGCAGATGCAGGAATGGGTTGTTATCTCAGCAATGTGGTCAAGACCGTGCCCATGGAAACCAAAACCCATACAGCTCCTGTGAGGAAGGAGCAAAGTCAGATGAATTCCACTGTGAGAGACACTTCCAGAGGAAGGTGCCTTAAGCACAAATCAGAAAAGAGAGTGAAATACATAAGTCAGATGGTGAAAGGCAAACTTAGCCCAGGCTGGACCATTAATAATGGAACCATATTAGGGGGTTGGTGGATCAGCTAGACAGATGGCTGTACCCTGGAAATAGTTGCTGGACCTCGAGCCCTCATCCATGGTTTTGTTTCAATGTAAGCATCACCTTGCCAATGTTCTGTATGGACCATTAACTGCAGTAACTAACTGACATCCTTTGTTTTCTAGATTTACACGCTGCCTGCCATAATTAGCAAGAAAGAAGAAAGTAAGTTCTTTTTCTCCTTTTTCATTAAAGGTTTTACATGAACACTTCTTAGATTTTGACTTAACTATGATTTTTAAAGGGACAGAAACTTAATCAGAAATAAGCTTTTCTACATTCTGACTTGCCTGCAGAGTAAGCCACAAATAAAACCAGTTACATTTCCTAGGAGAGAAATGAGAAAGCCACAGAAAGATCATGTGGAATCTGAACCTTCTGACCCTTACTGGTGCCTTCCCCCTTGGCTTGGTCCTTCCTCAGACACAACCAGAGGGAAACCTCTTAACTCCTGATTCCATGGGAATCGTGGAAACAAAACAGTAAGAACTAGAGTGGCCCTACACAAGGCTGCAGCAGAGGTGTTCAGAGCACATGCCGTAAAGTGGAGAGTGAGGCTGTGGTGTGCTCATGGGTCCAGCAGACCTTCTGTAGCCTGGGCAAGGAGTCCCTTGCTTTGCAGTCATACTCGATTCAACACTCCCTCCATGCTATAAATGAAGCTGTGTAATTCATTAGAAAAGGAAAGTTAGATCATTCTTAAGACAAAGCTCCACGTGAAAAACAAAACGCCAGAAACCCCACAAAGAACTGGTCCAGGATACTGAACCTGTAAATACTGTTGTGGTTATATGACACACTGTATTCTTCTTGAGATGATAAGATGCTGTTGATTAATTCATTTTAAGGTTAAGGGTAGTAGCTGTCATCCATATAAAACAGATGCTGTCCAGTTGAAATGAGAACGAAACTCTTCCTCAAACAGGTCCATTGGGACAGAACCTCACTCATAGTTCTTCGTAACCTTGCCATCTGTACATATTTTTCAGGAAAACAGGTTCTATTTCTCGATACACTGCCCTGTCTCAACATCTTCATCTTTGTCTTTAATAAAGAAAAGTTCAATTCATGGGTCGTGGGTTTTCTCTGATGCTGCCTTGAGCCATGTCTCTACTCAGATGACATAGTTTCTGTGGTGGCTTTCTAGCAGGCCCTTCTCCCCTGGATCTAGATGGAGTAGCAATTCTGAAAACAGAGGTATTTAGTTCATATCCTCCTGTCTAGTCTGTTCTGTATTATTCTATTTTATTCCTATTTATATCTATTTATTCCTGGGATAGATAAAAGGGGTCCATTTCAATAGATGTTTCTACTAGCTACAGTCACATCTTAGCTGTGTGGGTTATATAATCTTAAGGTTTCTGAACAGCTTTAACATTTGACCATTGTCTGGGTGATTTTTTCCATGTATGCCTTGGGATGTAATCTTCCTAGTGTGAAACACCTTTCTTTCATACTCTAAATAGTTGCCCTCTGTGAACAATATTCCTCTTGAGCTTTGCATTGCATGAGTAATTTATCACTAGAACTCCCCAGGTGTCTAAGTAAATTGGTCCATCCTTACATCCTCCCATGAGAACAGAACTATGTTTGATCAAGGGTCAAAGTTTTATTGACAAATACTAGGTAGCCTGCATCTCAACTTGATGCACCTGGTATGTAAAAGCCCTTTTGTTCTGAGTTCCTTGTTAAAGGGGGAATCCTTTAGAACTAGGGATATCACTTGGGCTATGGGAGAAAGGAGAGTCTAAGCTTAATTTGCATGAGAAACGTAGCTTTGTACCTAACACCTTCCTGGCCTTGGTAGTTGTCTCAGTATGGATATTTACCTTATTTCAGGAAATTAACAGGTAGTCTGAATGCTTATCTATCTGAAGTCTGTCCTTGGATATTTGAGAAGTATCTCAGATAAATGTTTTGTCCAGAGATGGCCCTGGCCAGATACTTGCTAATGGAGAAATTACATTACAGAGCTAATTACAAAAAGGCAGACTTCTGAGTCTAATGCTAAAAAAGTAACAAAGGTCTGAAAAAAAGAGGTCTTGATTGTGTGACTGTTGTCAACACAGTTGGGGGATGTTATCCCAATACCCCAATAGCATAGGGGAAATTGTGCCCAATGAGTGATCAACCACAATGTTAGAAGTTCTTGAGAAAAGCATCAAATGGGAAAGCTACAGCAGCTTACAAGAGATTCACTGCAGGAAACAGCTAATACATTCAAAAGCCAGTGTCCCCTGGAAGAGTTCTTGTCTCTTCCAGATACTTTTGCCATTGTCAGCTGAATTCCTACTTCATACATCTGCAGCTCACAGCAAGGGGAAGGGGCAACTCTTCATCCTTCAGGAAGATGAGAAAGGTCCTGAGGGCATCCTGAGTACCAACAAATGTGCTCCCATCTTTTTCCCCTCTGAAAACTCTTATGGTATGATGTTGGATATCTGTATCTTTTTAATCAGAAATGCCAGATTAGAAATATAAATGGATGAGGAAAGACAAGCATTGCTTTGTCCTAGAAGCCCTGAGGAGGTACAGGTTACATCGGGAAGGGTCTGGGGTGTTTTGAAACAGGAGGAAGTTGAAAGAACAAGGACTTTTGCTTTGTTAGCTGCAGAAGGCTGTTCTTTTCCCCATTGCTGTTGGAATATCTGTTAAGATTAATAGCTTTTGTACTGCTAAACAGCCAAATGGAAACTTCAGTTGGATTTCAATAAAAGCTTTAGCCCTGAACACTTTCCAACAGGGAGAAAATGCTTACACTTAACTTTTGATTGAATAAATTAGCTTTATTAAGTTAGTCTGTTTTCAGGCCAAATAACATTAGTACTACAGGGTTTCAATGTCTGGGAATTTGGTGACAGTTTGATTATGAGTACTCTTCTGGTCTTCTCTAAAACAGGGAAAAGTAGGTGTGGGGCACAGGGTGGGTCTTGGGGAGAGTTCACAGATTGTGGGAGAAGTGGGAGTGAGGCACAGGGAGGTCTCAGGGGAGAAGCCACCAAAGAGGGTGCTCACTCAGATATGGTGGAGAAGCGGGAGGAAACATTTGGTTGCTCATCTTGGTTGCCTGTTCTGAAGAAGACATAGCATCCCTCTAGAACTCCATGTTTCTACCATGTAGGATGAGTTCCCTTTCTTTCTATCCTACACCAAGAATACTTTGTCTTTCACTGAAGGAGAGTTAGGAGAAACACTCACTATCTGTGTGTCTAAGTGTAGATACCCACGTGCACAGCGTGCAGGTCAGAATGCAACCTTGGTGTTGTCTCACTTTCTGCTTTAATAGAGAGAAGGCCTCCTGTTTGTAGCCAAGCACACCAGGCTACGGGGCTTCCAGGGGATCTCCTTTCTGTGGCTCCCATCTTTCTGTTTAGTGCTAGGGTTACAGGTGCATGCTACCAAGTCTAACCCCGTGTAGGTTCCAGGGGCCCAAACTTCAAGCTTGTATGGCAGTGCTTTGCTTGCTGCTGAATCTCCAGCTCATACACACCCTTTTTAATGGTATCATTTGACTTATTAATAAACCTTTCCACAGCCGTCTCTTGTGAAATTAAGGAGTAAATGGTTTTTATTTTTCAGCTATTAAAATCAACAACACTGCTTTAGTTGAATTTTTCTTGGCATGAAGGAAAGCAATATAATAACCCTCTCACAGCTTTAGAAAATAGCTCATTTTTTTATCACATGAATTTCTTAAAAATTGACGCTTCCTGGCTGTCAATGTAACTATATCTTACATCAAGTCAACTGGAGGCAAACTGTGTAAACCATACCACAGCGAGAATGCTGGGCACTCTAGTGGAGGCATTGTTGTACAGAACTGTGTGAAAATTAACTGACAAGAGCTGGTTCTAACAGGACTTATTTTTCTCTTTAAGGATACTAATTTTGTTCAGTTGAATATATTTCTTGAGTCTGTGTTGCCACAGCAAAAATTGCTTAAATTACACATAATTAAATAAGCCCTGGACAGGTCTCGGTGTGATGAAACTGATACTCGGATCTCAGAGGCTTGCTGCAGCAAAGGATCTTGCTGGTTTATAGTACATGTCCACACAGGTCCTCCATGGTTTGCTTCTACTCTGAAACTCAAGTTCACAGAGTAGCCTCCTTTTGTACCATGCTGATCTTATGCCAGTGACAAGAGAAAACGGCAAACCTTGATCTTGATCTGCTGGGAAGTAACATAGGATCATTTCCATTCCATCTCATTGATCACATGACCATAACCAATCTTCAAGATGCTAAAACATTCTGTCTTCCTTTGTGAAGAACAGGGCAGTAAATATATGTGAAGAGCAGTCACAGTGTACACAGTCTGTTCAGCTCAGTGACACATTGCATTTGATCATTGTGATTTACTAAAGTATAATAAACCCATAGGGACATTTCTTAAAGTCCAATTTATCTTTTCAGCAACCTCCTAGATTCATGAGGCTTTATCACTGTATGCTCGAGCTATGTCTGTTTAAAGAAACAAATCATTGCTCTGGCCCCAAATTGTTTTTTTATTAAGTAATATGATATGCCTTTTTGAAAAATAGCACTACTGGTTGATAGTCCTTCAAGCAATCGTTGCTTCAGACATACCCAAAGAATAAAGAGGACTTGGTCCATGAAGGTTTACGTTATACTCCAGTCAATGACAGGCGTGAGCACAGAGCCAACACCACACAGCACCTACTCCATTTCAAACACTACGTGTAACTTTCCAAATCACTTTAACTCATTCTTTAGTAGTCCTATAAGGAAGAGATTGCTATACTTAGTTTTTAAAAGAGAAAACAACGAGATAAAACCATGCCAAGTAACAAACATTTTCATCTCTTTTTCTATTTTCATATACGTGTGATGTATGGGCAACTGAGTGTTTTTGAGTGTGAATGCTCGTGCACTTTTGTGCCAATGGTGGGGCCTAAGGCTGATGTCTGGAAGCATCCTCCATTGCTCTTCCACATTATTCACTGAATCGGGGTCTCTTGGTCAAATCTAGAGCTCACCGGTATGGTTAGTCTCACTAGCCAGCTTAGTCTGGGGATCCTATGTGTCAGTCATCTGAGGTTGCAATTACAGGTGGGCCACAAGGTCTATCCAGTATTTTTTCTTTTTTCTTTTGCCTTCTGTTGATCTGAACTACAGTTGTTATGCTTACATGGCAAACACTGTAACTGCTGAGTCATCTCCCCAACTCCTAGTAACATAAGTTTTATGTGGAAGAGTAAGCACCACCTTCTTCATCTGCTTAGAAACTGGTTTCCTTGACCTGTCTTCTGTTTTCTGTCCATAACACTGACTTAAGAGGTGGGTGCTTGTTGCTCTTTTGTTCACATCTCCCTGGGCTCTCTTGTTTCTGTTTTGTCTTGTTGTTGCTGCTTGTTTCTGCTCTAACACAGTCTCACTATGTAACCCAAGATGTCCTTCAACTTCACATCCTCCACCCTCAGCCTCTTCAGTGCTGGGATGACAGGTGTGTCTACTGAGTGCCACATCTCACATTTTATAGGTAGAGAGTCTCATTCATAAAAGTCAGTGGACATGCTCCAGGTCATACTGCATCATACCAGAGCTTAGAGGAACCTACGGTTTTTCCTGGCTTCAATCAATGCTGGGTATCATCTCAGCTCCATGGAACCAGCTCTTTGAGGCAAAGTGCACATAGTCAAACATGATGAACAAATTCCTGGTTGTTTTCTCCACACCCTGAACTGATTAATAATCATGCATTAACCCGTGGGGAGAAAGCCAAGAGCAGGAGCCATGGAATAGTTCAGGAGCCAGAGATTGGCCTTGTAAACTTTTGCTCTACATGAGGCACCTGCTCTCAGTGTATTAGAATAGACCAGAGCATTGTTTCCAGCTATCTCAGTCTGTCTTTGAGAGATAGCCTGCCTATTGTTTATTTTACTCCAAATGAATATGTAAAAAATAATTCTGTTTTACATGATACCTTTCTCTTTTTTCTGTGTGTTAGAGGACAGTCTTATGGAAAATACTTGAAGATACTTTCTGCTTCTCACTCAGTTTTATTGACAAGCTGAACAATGTACTCAACTACTTAACCTTTAAAAATAACCATCATTTTAGAATTGGAAGGTTTTTAATTTTGTTGGTCTGAATTATTCTCATCCATTAGTATTTTGGCATATTGAAAAAATGCATACCTACCACATGATAGAAATTATTACAATGTAAAGACTTCTCAAGTGTTTCCTCTGGGTGTTACGTAGCTTTTTAAAATGTTTTCCTTTATATAATTAATCTAATTTGATTTTAACCCCACAGCTTAAAAACTAAAGCAAATTTACTTATTACATTATTGATTGAGTAGGTGCTTGGGTGGCTGTATGTTGGTGGCCATGTGCACCATAGCACTGGCGTGGAGATCAGTGGACAACCTGGAAGAGTTGACTCTGTTTCTTCCTTGTGTGTCTCAGGGGATCAAGTTCAAGTCAAGATGCTCAGCAGCAGCCTTTACACACTGAACCACCTCACCAGCCCTAAGACTAATTTAAAGAAAGTTTAGCAAAGAATGAAAATCATGTTATTTTCTACTCCAGGACCAGAAATGGGGGAGCTGCTAGCACATGGACTGAGTGTGTTTGAGTTATTCTGAACGCCAAGCATGTACTTAAAAGAACACTGGTTAAAGCAGAGCACTAGACATCACAGCAAAGAGGAGTGGAGTTTTCAGTGACCTGATGAATTATGTTAAGAGGCTCAGGATGTTGTCGTGGTCACATGGGAAAGAATGACTGCATGAAAGGCCTTACTATCACTTTCCACTCACCATAAGAATTATCCAGGGTCTATTTACAGTGTAGAGTGCTCTGTGCTCCCTAGCACACAGCTTGATGAAGTGAGTGTGAGTGTGAGTCTCCCTGCTGTATTACGGCATTTGATGAATGCAGTGGTAGAATCCATGAAGGCACAGAGCAGAGCCAGCTGAAGGGGGAAGGCGAGTTGCACATCAGATCTTAATTAGGCTGTCTCTCACTTGCAGTGTACTTAAATGAAGCAGGGTTCAACTTCGTGAGAAAATGCATTCAAGCTGTGGAAACAAGAGGTGAGTGTGCAGACGGTGCATGATTACTCCCATAAGTCTCACTCCTGCACTCCGAACATTTCACTTAAAAAGGAAAGTGAGCGTTGGGCCATGAACACAAAAACAGTTTTGAGTATGATATAAATTTAAACTATGTGGATATAAATTTAAACTATGTGAATATATAGCTAGGTATAATTTCAACTGGTTATATACTCTTTCTTTTCAAAGATTTATATATATGTGTGTGTGTGTGTGTGTGTGTGTGTGTGTGTGTCTATATGTATGTATGTGTACTGTGTGCATGCTTGGTGCCTGAAGGGGCAAGAAGAGGACATCAAATTCCCTGAAACTGAAGTTACAGATGGGTATGAGCCATTCTGTGAGTGCTGGGAACTGAACCTGGTTCCTGTAAGAACAGCTAATGCTCTTAACTGAGCCTTTTCTCCAACCCCTATACTATTTTTTTATGGCTTTTTCAAATATGTTCCCTTGTTTGCTTCTTTCTGAAAGTCATAATACTATTTATCACTTCAAGTTCTTTCTTTTTTTATTTAAGAAAATGGTTTTATTCCTTTCACATGCCAACCACAGATCCCCCTCTCATCCCTCCTCCCGCTCCCCACAGCCTGCTCCCACAACCCCCATCCCCTCCTCTGAAAGGGTAAGGTCTCCTATGGGAGTCAGCAAAGCCTGATTCATGTTCTTTCAAACACTAGAGGGGAGATCTTAGGAAGACTGTATCCGTCTTCTATCAGCCTTACACTCTTTTCCTTTGTGATTTGAATAGCTGTTCCATTCTTAGCATCCTTGAGCTTTCCCGTGGGAATGAGTCGTGACCTGTTGAGACTACCTCCACACGTAGAGGCTGCATACTTTCTCTTTCTGAGACTCTCGCTTAAAGCAAAAGTCCTGTTGTGCTTCAGAGTTCTTTGAACTTCCATTCAGAATTTTCCTATACTTGCGGGTTTTAAGGAGTGAAGCAGAATCCTTGGATTCTCTCAATCTGCTTCTCTGCCTTTGAAATGAAGATGCAGATGACATGGCACCACTGAATGCAAAGGACTCTGACTCAGAAGAAACAGAAATACTGTCTCCTATCTTTGATGCACTTTTATATTCAAAGAGTAGTAAGTAGGCAGGGTGGCTTAGGCCTTTGAAGATCTCAAAGGACTTTTAAACCGCTGTTTAGTGCCTGCTCTGAGAACTCTTTAGTGGGTGGGTGTTTCCAGGGTAGGATGGCTAAGATTCCCTGGCAAAACTGGGTAAGTAGCTGTCAAGTTCTGCATGGACACGTGCCTGGGATTTTTAGATATGTGCTTGAGAAGTCCCTTCAGCCATATTCACTTGTGATTTCCTCCCTCAGGTATCACCATTTTAGGCCTGTACCGAATAGGAGGTGTGAACTCCAAGGTCCAAAAACTTATGAACACCACATTTTGTAAGTTTTAGATTAAACAAGGGTGCCGTTGATTTGGGATATTTGTACAAGTAACCTAACATACAGGTTTCCGAGACATAGACAATTTGTTGTTGTCTTTGTTAATTTTTATATCATATTGAAAGTTAAGTTTTAAAGTTTGTTTTGGGATATAGGGGTACTGCCACCTAAACACAAGACCTTGGATGTAAGAGCCCACATCTTCCCACTCTGCTAAACCATTAGTCCCTTTGTTCAGTCTTCAGTGTTGAGCTGTAACAGATGAGGTGGCATGTTTGTGAGGTTGGGCCCTTTCAAGTGCCTTTTGTTAGCTAGTGTAACAGGAATATGCATGGGTGTATAGATGCCCTCTACAGTTCTAGACTGTTTCCTGGCTTGGAATTCCAGCTCCACCACTTAAAAGTTTTCTATGATCTTGGAGTTTGCTTAGCTTCTCTGTATCTCTGCCTCCTCCATTTTAATCTCAGGGTGATAGTGCTTCCTCAGATATGTAAATGCTGGCCCATGCCAAGCACTTAGAAGCATGGCCCTGTCCTTCCAGCCGTTAGCAAGAAATTGATTTGAGAGACAGCAATGCTACCTTTCTTACCTTTGAGAGCGAGAAATAGAGTGAGCTTCCAACCAGATCACAAAGGCAGCTTTCCTAAAGTGAACTTTAATGGAGCCCTAAGATGCAAATGGCCCTCCCTTTGACCTGCTTGACTTGGCATGCATTCTCATCGCGGCATAGGTAATACTTTGAACTATAGTTTAAACATTTCAAATTTTATTCTTTCCAGCTCCCAAGTCCCCTCCTGATATGGACATTGATATTGAGCTGTGGGACAATAAGACTATAACGAGTGGGCTGAAAAACTACCTCAGGTGAGGAAGTTTTAGTACTGGGGATTCTGGCCATGACTGCTCTCTTCTTCCTGGGAATTATCTGCCTGTTGCATGAAATCCGTATACATGGGGTTCACTCCTCAGTCACAGCCTTTACCTACAGGAAGCAACACTGGTGACAGGTACACATTCTGGAACTCATACATGCTTTTTCCAATATTAAATTTAAAAGCTGCAATTTTATGAATCCTGAGTTAGTCTTTTTGTTTCCTTATATATGTGGGGCTTTGTGTATGTTTTTAAATATATTGAAATGTTTTTTTGAAGTTATGACACCCATTTTTTTTTGTTTGTTTGTTTGTTTTTGGGATCATGTATCCCCGACAGTCCTTCGACTCACAACTTTGCTGAGAATGGCCATGAACTTCTGATCCACCTGTCTCTACCTTATGAGTGCTAGTACTGCATGTGTGCACTATCATTACTGGGTTATGTGGTGATAGCGACCCATGCAGGGTGTTGTCTGTGCTAGACAAGTGCTCTACTGTTGTGGGATATTTTGATCATATCTGACACTTCGAGACTGCCAGTAAAGTTTATTTTGAATCAGAGGGTGGAGCAAGCTAGTAGTAGGGTGGGGCTTAGGAAGATTCTTGGCCCTTTTGGATTGGGGAAGGAGAGAGAGAGAGGAGGTCCCTGCTCACTTCTCCACTGCTTCTCTGATCAGTCAGGTCCTTAGCTGATATTTGGCTCCTGAGTTTTCTTTTCTTTTCTTTTTTTGATAAAGAATAATTAAATAAACACTTCCTCTGGTACCCAGTGTGGGCCGCCATTTGCAACAAGCTTTCTCATTGGACTCTCTTTGGATTGCCAGCCCACAAATAATGACACAGAGATTTCTTATTAATTGTGAAAGCTTGGTCTTAGCTTAGGCTTGTTCTCAACTAACTCTTATAACTTAAATTAATCTGCTTCTATTAATCTACATTCTACCATGTGGCTTTTTTAATAAACCTCTTCTCCATTTCTGTACATCTGACTTATTCCAAGTCTGCTGGGAAAATCCTTGCCTCTCTTCTCAGAGTTCTCTCTCTCTCTCTCTCTCTCTCTCTCTCTCTCTCTCTCTCTCTCTCTCTCTCTTCTCCCTAGCTATTGGCCATTCAGCTCTTTATTAAACCAATCACAGTGACATATCTTCACACAATGTAAACAAATATTCTGCAATACTCTACCAACTGAGCTACATCCTCAATGTAGCATCCCTTTTCACACAGTTGTGGCAAGAGTGCTCAAGAACAGTGGATCTGTCCAGATCCCCCTTCCAGGACCTGTCATACTACCTAACGAACCAATTATTTTGTTAGTCATTGCTTCACCTTTAGTTGGCAAAAAACGATCACTGTTTTAAAAGAAGACCTGGAAATGTAGAGTGACAGAAAATTCGATAGTTCTAGACATTCTCTGCTTCTCTGTTGTAGGTGCCTTGCAGAGCCCCTGATGACTTACAAATTGCACAAGGATTTCATCATTGCTGTCAGTAAGTGTGCTTGCACCAAAAGCATAGGATTGATGCAGTTTTAGCATCTGTTACTTACACATGAAAGTTTAAATCTCCTCGACATTATTTCACATGTTGCTTAAAAATTTTGCCAATATATTTAATAGCTTGCACTATCGTTTGTAAGCCAATAAAACTTACAAATGAAACTAAATATTTTGTCCTTTAATAAGACAAACTCTGACCACTATCTCTATCCCCCCAAAACCCATTGTTATTGAGGTGACAGTCTGATGTGATTATAAAAAGCTGTGAGGATTTTTGATTTGAGTGACTAAACATATTTTGTATGACAGAAAACTTAAAAAAATTCATTTATGTGTATATGCCTTATTGAATTTATGTGTACCATGTGCATGCCTTTGAAGTCCAGAGGGCATTGAATCCTTTGGAACTGGAGTTACAGGCAGTTGTGAACTTTCTGATGTGGGTGCTGGTAACTAAAGCCAGGCCCTCTGCAAGAGCAGTAAGTGCCATTAACCAGTGAACCATCTTTCCAGCCCCATGACAGCAACTGTCATAAACATGTCACCAGTGTATATGGCAAGTTATGTCAGTGTTCACACTTGCATACTCTATTCCTAAACCTGGAAAACCATCAAATAGTATGAGCAAATTCTTCTGTTACTTTCCTGACCCCTGAGGTTTCTTGTTATGATCACAGATTCACATCGTTTATTTATGTCATTGGCTGCCTTAATGTTAGTTAGTGGATTTAGTTGGAAAATTGGACATTGGGGGCTGGAATACTATAATAATGTGACCTGCGAAGTTAGTAATATATACTTTACAGCTATTGGAACCAGAGTGCCAGCTTGGTGTCTGATCCATCAACATAATGTGTACTATAGTGACCTACACATGTAACAACCAGTCGGCATTTCATTGTTGGAAGTGTGTAAGATATGACTATAATTAAAGAGTATTAGTCATTCTTCACAGTCCAAGAAACAAACAAACAAAACCAGCTGCCTTCATTTATTTCCAGACATTGAAATGCCCCAGAAGTGTTGTCTGCCAGAGAAAGTGTCAGGTAACATGGGTGACCTGGTTTTAAGTTCACATGGCTGACCACAGACTAACACCACACCTTTCTAAGTTTTTTCTGGAAATCTCTCTGTTCAACATGGTCTTCATATGAGCCCATCTTTGCAAGGTGAATAGGGTGCAAGGAACATTAGCTCATTTTGTTGATGAGCCAGTCAGGACCTAGACTGGCTAGGTAAATGGCCTGTCCAAGACACTAGGGTACGGTAAGAGCCAGGACTATAAGTGAAGTGGTTTGTTGTTGCTATTCAACAAACCTTAATTTTGGACTCTTAATCCAGAGATTTGGCTTTGTATGGAGTGGCATTTGAGCCACTGTCTAAAACTGGGATGACAGAAGCTCTTGGTAGGAGGTTTTCTTTACTTCCATCTTTGGAAATCGTTATTGTGTATGGTCTCAGGGAAGGATTTACTCAGTGTTAAGTTGGTTTTTGAATGGATATAACTAGTGTCAAGTTTCTTTTAACCAGTTTCAGTAAAAAGTGAAACATTACTGGAACCCTAGGAGACAGTAGAGAATTCACCGGAAGAGAGGATTCGGCTGCATCAAGGAACTGAGAAACTGCACGATGATACTTTTCTCTTCATATTTTTTGTATTTGGTTATTGGGTTGGATGGTCGGGTTGGTAAATGGGGTTTTGTTGTTTTTGAGACAGGGCTAATACTGTAGCAACCTGACCTAGTAGCCCATTCTGGCCTTGAACTTGTGGCCATTTTCCTGCTTCTAGCTCTTAAAGGCTAAGATTACAGGTGCCACTCTGCCTCGCTTGATAAGGGGTCTCTGTCTGTTTATTGTATTTATAGCCCATTCTTTTTCCCTATCCAATCAAATTTTCTTAAGTATCTTTGCTAACCCTGGCCCTTGTCCTAAATAATCTTATCTTCACATATACAGCAGGTCGATCCGAGTCTTGGCATCTCAGAACTATCCCGGAGCTGGGTTACATCTCCACACATGTGTGTCTAGGTGACATGGCAATGTAGCATAAAGAGGTTACAAAAGGCCTTGAAATGCTGGGCTTTTGTGCCCAAACTTGTTACTGACAATGGGGGATGTCAGCTCCTTCTGAAGTGTTACAGGCGGGTTGCACCCAAGCCTTAGTCTGGACTTGCAGAGGTGATGTCTCCAATTTCAGATTTCTAAATGTCACCGTGAGTTCACTATCTTCTGTTTGCATAATGCCAATGCTTCAGAAAGGTCACACTGAATTTTTCCTTGACTGTGAACTGAGGAGAAGAATGCTGGTTCCCTCTGGTCACACAGGGTTAGGGCTCTAGCATGTTCCTCTGTAGGAATGTGAATTATACTGATTAACACACTGGGCAGTCTACACCAATGTCTACAACTCACATTTTCAATGTATGAATGTGTACACATGTGTACACATGTGCACCACATTCCTGAAGGTCCTATCTTGTCTCTGTTTGCAAAACTCAAGCAGGCAATGACTTAGGCCAGAGCAATATAGTCCAGTGATGAGGAACAAGTTGCAAAACCACCCAGTTTTGTTTCTCTACTTCCTAACCTAAAGCCATGGACAAGCTCAATCAACATTTCTTAGCCTAAAAGATATGGTTAATAAGTTGTTATTATTATGAAGCAGCACTGTAAGGCATGAATGGTAGGATTACATATGATGTTCACATGATTAATGTTTACATTATGTTTGAATACAATTATATCTGTAACCATTTTTACATAACAGAGTCAGATGACCAAAACTACAGAGTGGAGGCCGTCCATGCACTGGTGCACAAATTGCCGGAGAAAAACAGAGAGATGCTGGACATCTTGATAAAACACTTACTCAAGTAATTCTGTGACTCATCTTGTTCGTTTAGTGACTTTCCAGTCCTGTTAAGATAAGCTCATTCATGTCTTTAAAGTAGGCGATGGTGTTATGTGCTTGCTCTTGTAATCCTTGAGTGAGCATTAGAAAATGGTGTGCAGTTTGATTTTAAGATATGTATTTGTCTATGTGTCATATATTTCCAATATGCAGAAAATTGCATCCTCCATGACTGTTAAACTAGTGATAAAAACTTGGAAATGTCTGAAGGAGTGTATGGTGTTTTATAGTATTTCTAGGTCTTTTAAGTGTGTTACAGTGGTAAGTTTGAAGACTAGTACTAGATGCTACTAAGGTCAACAAGTTTCCTCAGATCACCTGACACTGCAGGTTCCACAATTTTCTCAAAGATTTTCTTCTGACTTTGGTGTTAGTTCATACATGTATTTTAAATTTCATATAGATCAATAGATAAGTAGGTAGGTAGGTAAGTGGTTTGATGGGCAAATAGATGATACATGCATACATACATACATACATACATACATATATACATAGACAGATACATAGATAGATAGATAGATAGATAGATAGATAGATAGATAGATAGATAGATAGATAGATAGATAGATAGATAGATAGATAGAAAACTTTTTATTTGTGTGGTAGGGGTGACTGACTTACTGTAGTGATGCAGTTCAGTATATAGAGCTGGTGTAACTCAGCAGTAGAGTAGGGACCCCACATTTGCTTGTTTTAGCCTCCTGAGTGTCTGGGATAATGGGGTTTGTACCACTAGGCCTGGGTTCTTCTGAGTTCAATCCCTAGAATTTCCAAGTAAAGTGGAATTGTGTATGAAGCTGATTAAGAACTGGCCCAGAGTAATTTCTTTGGCTCCAAACATAGTGTCAGCTCACTTACTCTTTAATTGTCTGTTCTACAAGAAGTCCAGTACAGAAATACCAAACAGTTAAATATTTTTCTATGAACATTGCATCTAATTCAGGAAAAATAAACAGAAAACCAAGATTAATTTCCCTCACTAATTTAGTGCTTATAGTTATTAGCTTCATTTTTCCAGTGTTAGCATCTTATGTTCCTTCTTTAAATATTAAAAATATGTATTTTCATTATGGGGGATGGTGTGCGCATGCCACAATACACCTGTGGGGTCAGAGGACAACTTTTAGGAATCCATTCCCTCCATCCACCTTGGGGCCCAGGGATTAAACTCAGGTCAAGATTGCCGAGCAGAAACTTTTTGCCCTCTAAGCCATCCCTCCAGGCCCCTATTAAATCTTTAGTTGACATTGATAGACACAGCACATTATGTCTCATGATTATTCAATGTGTATTTATACATAATATATAATGATTATGTGAAGGTAATTATTTCCATCCCCTTAAGGACCTGTTTGGGGCCCAGGGAGAAGAGAAGAGGGAGGTTCAACACGAGATGTCAAAGTACAGTAGGAGACGGGGGAAAAGTCTAGTTGTACCACACAGCAATGTGACCAGCACTGGGTATTAATTGACTCTTTATCTTATAAATAATTGTCTTCCTATTTGATACAGTTTCTACTTATACCCATTAGGAATAGGCAATGCTGACCAGGGAAGCAGGCCTCCAGTGGCATATGTAGCTTACAGTTGTTGTTTTTAAACACACCATGTTTGATAGAAAAGAATGTTTCCTAGCTATTTGAAGTTTATATTAAGAGTTTATGTTCTTTATTTTCAGAGTATCATTACACAGCCAACAAAATCTCATGACCATCTCGAATCTCGGCGTTATATTTGGCCCAACCCTGATGAGAGCACAGGAGGAAACCGTGGCCGCCATGATGAACATCAAGTTTCAGAACATAGTGGTTGAAATCCTGATCGAACACTATGAAAAGGTGGCTGAGATCTCCATACACTGCCAACTTTAATTTAAGGACACTTATACTGTCTGTGAGCTTTACTTCGTGATCTGAGGTTCCTGAAAACTGCCCGTCTTGTCAGTTTCGTAAATTACTTCTCTATGGGGACTTTGATTCTCACTGTTACCTGTTCATTCTGTGTTTCAAGTCTGGTGAGTAGCCTGACTCTCCTCCAACCGTGCCTTGCTGAAGTTTCCTTCTTTCGTGGATTGTACTCAGCTTACTGCTGGGATTCAGAAGACACTGCAACATTATTTGTGTTTAAATGTGATTTAGCCTCTTCTCTTTATCCCTCTGTAATTAGACTCTTATTTGTTTAGTAACTCCAATCTTCCAAATAAAAGAAAAAAAGTGAGGTCAGATATGGTAGTACACACCTATAATCTCAGCCTTTGAGAATCAGAATCATGAAATTGAATTTGAAGCTCACTTGGGCCTCAAGTGTCTCAAAATGAGGGTAGGGGATAGTTACAAAGTAGAGTCTTGAATCATGAGGTTCTCCTAAAAGAAGTTTTCCTTAAAATTTTAAGCTCTTGGAGTAACTATGGAAATGGGAAGTTGTGAGAGTTGAGTTAGCCCATTATGCCTGATCTGGTTCTTCTGGGAGAATGACCCCATATTTCTCCCCAAAGTCCTTTCCTGGTGACCACTCAATGATGTCCTCAGTCACTGCATAAAGTTGCAAGCTCACAGTCCCATACTATGTAGACATATCTGAAGACTACTCATTCCACTTCCTCCAGCTAACCCCACCTCCTGGACAGCCCAGAGTCTCAGCATCTCAGGACAATCCCCTGCATTGCAAAGAGCTACTCTCTTGGAAGCCATAAACTTGCCCTTGGGTTACAATTTCCTGAAATGAAAGCAAAAAGGGAACACGGCAATAGGAAGAAACCGTTTCTTGGTGTAGACACTTGCTCATGGTTGACAGGTTTCTTAAGTTCTCAGACCTCACCTTCACCATAAGCTGTGGGGAACAACAAAGATGAAAACCCAGAGAAGCGGTTTTATTCAGTAGATGCAAAAGAAAGCACAGGGTAACTGTTGTATCAAGCATCTCCTATACTCCTAAGATTCTTTTCATAGCTGTTGAAGCTTCTGTCATATGGACACACAGGATGGCTTCACTCTTTAGTGACCTCGATCGATTTTTCTTCTCTGTAGATTTTTCATACCGCTCCAGACCCAAACATTCCTCTTCCTCAGCCTCAGTCTCGGTCTGGATCCCGAAGGACTCGCGCCATCTGTCTGTCCACAGGCTCTCGGAAGCCCAGAGGGAGGTACACGCCTTGCCTGGCAGAGCCCGATAGTAAGTGTGCCCCATTGTGGGGAGAGCCTGTCCTTCGGTTTATCCTGACCTCGCTTCTTTGGTAATTAGGAATAGGCAGATGTTCTTGGGTGCTTTTCCCCCACACGCCTCTTCTAGCACTGAAGCAGTCCCTGACAGCCTCATGGCAAGCAAATTCATTATTGCCACAAAGGGAAAAAGAAGTGGTTTGCTCTTCTCTTTTTCTGATGTGGTGATTAAGGATGCCGGGTGCTACTTGGGGCAGGTTTTGTTCTGTTGTTGGAGTGGCAGATAAGGAAGCTGGAGGATACCACACTGAAAAGACATTTTCTAGCTTTCTCTCACATTGTGTTCTTAAAGAATCAGCTCTTGGATGTCAGAGTGCCCCAAAGAGAGGAAAGAAATAAAAAGAGAACCAACAGTACACATGAAATCATGACCTCCTTATTCTGAGCCAAGCTCAAGCCAGGGTGGTTGACCATAGCTTGAGCCCACAACAAACGTGAAGCTGTAGTTGTTCTCACTTATGTGTTTTCCACCAGGCCCCGGTGGTTTCCCATGGTCCATATTTAATAGAAAATGGTCTAGTAAATTTTGACTTAGGTATATTTTCAAGATTTAATGCAGTTTCTCTGACTTTTGATGCGTTTGCTTTTAGAGACATTAAAAACTAAACCCAGTTAGGCAGCCATGTTTTTGTTGTTTGATTTTTTTTTTCTTCCCTGCTAGGGCTTAAACCCAGGGTCTTGTGCAGGCTAGACACGCACTCCCCTTGAGTTACACCCTAGTCCAACAGCCGGTTTCTTGTGTTACTATGTTCATAGTAGGAAAAATGAAGAAAAAAAAAAACCCTTCTTTCAAAAGCTGTCAGCAGCTTGTAATTTGCTGCTGAAATTCAAGTGCCTTTGAACAGACCTGGAGCCTGTGACTCAGAGCCAACTGTGATCAGAAAAATAAAAGAAGGCAAAAATATATCTCTAATAGAAACATGTCTCTTCCACTGATATATATATGTGTGTGTGTGTGTGTGTGTGTGTGTGTGTGTTTATTATCATGAAGGAAGCCTATTTCTCTTACTTCTGAGTCTTGTGTCACAGACAATTTTTGTCCAGCTTCAAGTCGGTCCACAAATGCTCCATAAGAGTGGTTAGTTCACAGGGCTGTGTAAAAATCATCCTAGAGGATGTGGAAAATCGCATTTACCACCATCAAAGGCGAACTTTAAAGCCCTCCCCTAGTACTGAAGATAATCCACCCTGCCAGGTCAAGGCCCACTGTGTCGGTGGGGCTGGTGGGTCGGTGGCTGTGAAAGGCACGGTGACTGAGGGCAGGAGGGCTCTGGTCATCTGTTTGGTGTTGCTGGCCCACTGCCTCTGTTGCTCTTTCTGTCTCCTCTCAGGTGATTCTTACAGCAGCAGCCCAGACAGCACACCCATGGGCAGCATAGAGTCGCTTTCTTCCCATTCCTCTGAACAAAACAGCACCACGAAGTCGACTTCCTGCCAGCTCAGGGAGAAGTCGGGTGGTATTCCCTGGATCGCGTCTCCATCATCTTCCAATGGACAGAAAAGTCTGGGTCTCTGGACAACTAGTCCAGAGTCAAGTTCTCGAGAAGATGCAACCAAAACAGATGTGGAGTCAGATTGCCAGAGTGTGGCCTCAGTCACCAGCCCAGGGGACGTTTCTCCCCCGATAGACCTCGTCAAGAAAGGACCCTACGGGCTCTCAGGACTGAAGAGAGCCTCTGCTTCCTCTCTCAGATCCATCTCTGCAGCTGAAGGTGAGCAGGCCTGGAGCCCTGGAGATAGCATTGCCCCAGTGTTCCTGGCTGGTCATTCAGGGTGACTGATCAGGGACAAGGTTAATGGAGGAGAACAGTGAAGCTTGTCTACTTTGTAGTTGAGCTTGCATTTAGAAACTTCAGAGTGCTATGACATTTTCCCCCTGAATCTTTCCATCATTGTGGGGTGATATCTTGTAATTGCTGTAGATTTTGATCTTCCTAAGTGATAGACCACTGTACCCAAAAACCTTTCTGTACCTTTCCATTTCTTGGAGGAAAATGCTGCCTTTTGTTATGCACTGTACTGTTTTTGTTATTATTTTGACTAATAGCACCCTGCATGTTTTCTTGGGCTTTCTTTTTAGGAAACAAGAGCTACAGTGGATCCATTCAAAGCTTAACTTCTGTAGGTTCCAAAGAGTCACCCAAAGCCACACCAAACCCAGAGCTACCTCCGAAAATGTGCAGGAGGCTAAGGCTGGACACTGCCTCCAGCAATGGCTACCAGCGACCGGGCTCAGTGTGAGTTAGAAGGAGTTTGTATTCACTGTGTCTCCTAAAGGTGCAGAGGGGTCGAGTCTGTCCTAAAAGAATTTGGGAGTCCTGTAGTTAAATGGTTCGTCTAGAGAGCTGGTTCCTTTAGCTTGTAGGACTCTGTCCACTTCAGTAAAGAATGTGAGAGTTGCTGTAGGCTCCAGCTGTCATCAACCTCATGAGTTCTCATGGGTTATTGCTTTAAAGGCTATCCCACAACCAGAGCTGTGGCTTAATGTAACATGTGAAAATAGATAGAGAATACAGTGGTTATGGCCTTTGGAGCTAGGAACCTTCCATTACAGCTACACATCCAGCTTTGAGCTCCCTCAGTAGGGTTGCTCCCTGCACGTGAGGGTTTTCTCCCCTCCATCTTGTGCTTCTCTGAGATCTCACTGATGGCAACAAGGTTAGAGACAAACAGGATCACAAAAGGCAATGGGAAGAGAGTCCTTCTCATCAAAACAATGACCAGAAGTCAAAAGCTTGTAGAACATAGCTATATAAATAGGTGCAGAGGGGTGAAGGGGAGTCTGAAGAAAGAAGGGATGAAGATCCAGACCGGAAGTGCCTCATCCTCGGCTTTCACGGTCCTGGCAGTTGCTAGCATTTTCCATTGTCTGTGAGCTCTCACTAGACATCTTCCCTTGCGTAGTCTCTGATAAAGGTCTGCAGTCTCATTTCAAGTTCAGCAGTATGAGCAAACCCCTCTTTAGAGACCAGAACAGATGTCTGGAAAATGTAAGAGTCCTGGGTTCCCTAACCTCCAGATTCTCTGTGCCATACCCATCTGTCATATATGAGGGTGTTTCTGCCATTTTCATTATTTGTTGAAAGTTTAGTAAGGTATCTTACTTACTAAGTCCACGTCCACAGGAAGGGGATCCCAAATCCTTCCGCCCATTACTCTCCCTCTACATCTTTAGTTGCAGAGTGTGTCTTTTTTTGTATGTCTGTCTGCTTCGTGTTCAGCTAAAGCCAATACAAGAAATTAAAGTTTAGATGGACACTCAGAGGAGATGAGAGGCTATCCTCGTGTCTTTCAGGAGACAGAAGATTTTCTGTCTTCTGCTCGTCGTCGTCGTTGTTGTTGTTGTTTTTGGTGGGGAGGCCCTCAGAATTGTCTGTTGGGACTGTATGAAGAGTTCTAACTAGAGATTGGGACCAGTGAGATGGCTCAGTGGATAAAGGTGATTGCCACCAAGTCTGAGGACCTGAGTTCCATCCCAGGACGCACATGGTAGGAGGAGAGAGCCAGCTCACAAAAGTTGTCCTGTGATTTCCCAATGCACACAAAAAATTAATTAATTAATAATTTAATTACTTAATTATAATCACTTAAAAATATGTCATTTTGAAACCAAGTTAGATGCTCATTCATATAATTTAATTTTTTTCGGTGAAATTAAGAAATAATATGATGATCAAGGACACTTCACGGCAGCTGCTCCCATTCTGTAGCTAGTAGCTTCCCGTTCTCGCCACCATCCAACACACACACACACACTGGGACTGAAGCAAGATGCAAACCAGGAAGTTCATTTAGGAGACGTATTTTCATAGTTTTTTTTCATTGTTGCTTCATAGCAAAGGCAGCACAGGAAATAATCTTAGCTCCCTGTGCTATTAGAACAAACAACAGTTCCTCCTCCATCATGTTGATGGATTCTTTGATTCTCCCCTGGTACTCCACAGGAGCCAATAACATGCTTCCTGCTGGGAGCCGTGTGGGGAGAGAATGTTCTCCCTGCTGTGACCTCTGTTTTCTGAGGTAAAAAGGAAAAGGACGGTAAGAGCCCCAGGAAGCAAACTCTAGGTTTATTACAGTCGCAGGCTCTATGAGCTGCAGGCTGCAGCACAACTCGTTCACATTAAAGCAAAAAGCAGCTCTACTCTAGCTCCAATTTGGGTGGCGGTTCCTAACTGTGTTGTCTTATTTGCACGATAATCCTGTATATCCCATTGAGCAGAATGGCTTTTCTGATTGACTTCATTTAAAAATATTAAAGAATTCTGATTCTTAAGATACTGTTTTTAAAATGTACTCAGTGCATTTAAAACTGTCTTTCAGAGTGGCGGCAAAGGCCCAACTATTTGAAAATGCTGGGTCACTTAAGCCGGTCTCTTCAGGACGGTAAGTTCTCAAGATTTAACAGTGAATAAATGGAATAGCAGGGATAGCATTGCACTGTGTTGATGTAATGTAGTTTGTGGCAGCCTCTACCTCAGCTTTTCAGAAAATGAAATAAGCCAGTGTCCAGTGACTTAGCCAGGAAGAACACATCTGCAAATAACATCGTATCAGATTGTTACCATGGTGCCTTTCTTCTAAAATGCTTGCAAAAGAATTGTAGTTGGAGCTGTAATTCAGTTGGTGGAGTGCTTGCCTGGTATACACAAGGCCCTGGTTTGATTCCCAGCCCCACATAAGCTGGATGTGGTAGTATACACCTATAGTCATAGCATGCAGGAAGTGACATCATGAGGATCAGAAGATGAGGATCATCCTTGGCTACATGACAAGTTTGAGGCCAGCCTCGGATACATGAGACCCTGCCCCTCCCCTCCAAAAGAATAAGGATTCAAAACAAATTTCCTAAGAGTGGAAGTCACTATAATTAGTTGTCTCTTTGTACACTTCTGATAATAGTCATTTTGGGGGTAATTGTCAATAATATATTCTTGACTTTTAAAAGTTATTGCTTCTCTGGAAGAATCTTCTAGAAAATACTGCACAGTACAGTGCAGGATTGCAAAGCTAACTAGCCCAGGAGCCTCTGTTCTGTGTGGACAGGACTTGGCTCTGTTTCCAGCCTTCCAGGTCTGCTCCTTGCTGCTTCCTTCTCAAGCACCTGTCTCCTCCTCCTGTGCCCATGCTGTTAATCTGCAGTGGACTTTGGGTTTTAATCTGAATAACTGAATTGCATGAAAACGACTTGTTTCCCAAGGTTTTCTTTTTAGAGGAGGTATTCAGTACAAGCACATAAGTGAGATCGCTTGCAGAGCAAATCTGCCTCACTCCTCATCCCTGCAGCTGTGCTGGAGCTTTTTTGAGCTTCCACAACTGGATAACTAAGTCTATGAAGCAAAGGAATCATGGGTAGTTTATTGCTGTATATTTCTTCTGAAAGTTACTCAACCAAAGGTTTTTGCTGTCTTTTTTTGGTTATTTTGTTGTTATATCTCTTGTTTTCTGTCATTTTTACAAAAGCATGTGAACTTTCCCAACAAGTCTGTCTTAAGCCCTTACCAACCTCAGGATATCATCAGAGCTGTTAGGGTTAAGGCTCAGGCTCTTGCAAATCATCCCATGAAGCTTTAATGAGATAAATCAGGCCTATCCACCTGTCCTAGGTAGGCTAATTAAAGAGACAGGAAATGGTAAAAAGGAGAGAGAGGAAATTTGTTTAATGTGGCCACATTTGGGGAAAGGAACAAATAAAGAGGTCTGGTGACATCCCCCAACCAGTCCATCTTTGGGGTCCTGACAAAAGTTTTTGTTTAAAGAGATATGTAATGAAGCAGTCTCAAAGAGTGCTCTGGCCTGTCATCACTGTCTTTCTTAAATGATGGTCTGATAAGTTATCGTAACTGTGTAGAATCCATTCCAAGAAGAGAAGGTCCCCCTTTGGGAATACCAGGCTTTTGCTTTTCCATCTCCCAATATAAGACTCCTGGAGGAATTCTAGTTCCTTGGGGACCATTGTTTCAATAGTCTGATAACCAAAGGGCGGAACACAGTGTTCCTTTTAGAATCCCTTCTGCCAGATGATTGTAGGCACAAACTAGTTAGTAGGGGTAACGGTGACCTTCAAACCCTTAAATTTTGTTCAAAGTCTCAAATTAGATAGTTTGCATGGTTGTTTTTTGTTTGTCTGTTCTGACTTCCGGTGAGGAATCACACTGCTGTCTCGGGAGGATAATTGCTGCACTGCTTACACCCGGAGCACTTGTACACACCAGTCCAGATCTCTGCACCTGCTTTCTTCCCGAGAAGGCACAGGGGTTTTGTGTGTGCCACAGCGAACTTCATTTCTTTGAGATTGCTGTTGCTTTTGGGTATTACTGTAAGAGCCTTGCATACCTGTCTATCCAGCTGTGGTTCTCAACCTGTGGGTCATGACCCCTTTGGAGGCTCAAATAACCCTTTCACCTAAAGATGATCACCTAAGAGCATCCTGCATATTAGATACTTACATTATGATTCATAACAGTAGCAAAATTACAGTTTAAAGTAGCAATGAAATAATTTTATGGTTGGGATCCCTACAACATGAGGAACTGTTAAAGGGTCGCAGCATTAGGAAGGTTGAGAAGCACTGTATGGTCAAATTGCTCCACTAGATGGAGCCCTTCTATTGTGAAGTGCTAAGTAGTCATCTGTAGAGTAAAAACTCAACAAGCCTCCCTCTCTATCCATAAAAGATTGGTTCTAAGACTTTCTTTCCACTGTACAAAATTCATAGTTGTTCACCCTCTCATATGCCATGCACAGCATTTACATAGTAGCTACTTATATCTGCCTTGAAGTAGTCATCACTAGAACATTTAAACTACTTAGTGTATAAGGCTATGTAAACAGATATTATGTCCATGTTGCTTTGGGAGTGCTGACAAAAAAAGATCTGTATGTGTTCAGGACAGATGCATTTTTTCCCTGCACACTTCAGTGTGATTGTTGAATATGTATTTGAGGAGGAGCCTAAAGATATGGAAGCTGGCTAGAACTATAATTACAAAGATAACCCCAGGAGACTTAGCAACACAAAATGTTAGTGAAGTGAGGGGGCTATCCTATGGTAAAGACACACTTAGATGTTTAACAAACAGCCTATGCATTTTAATAACTTTGGACATTTTAAAGCTGAAATCAACTTCTCATAGGCTTCAGCAGAGACTTCCAGGTTCCCTTTGTCAACCAGTTCAGGCACCCATGGATAGCATCCTTAATTATCACTGAATGCTATACACTATGGAATATACATCACCGTCAGGGTCAGATGGGCCCTCATTCAAACTTTTGGGCCACCATTTGTAATGCCCCATAATTATGCATTTCAGAAGTCCATGTTCCCTATCTAAAATGAAGGTCATAATTCTGCACTTACCACACTGGCTATGAATATAAACAATAATGTTTTTGAAATATCTGGCAGGTGCTTTCTACCTCAATAATAACTATTATTGTTGTGATTATAATTGAAATTATTAATTATAATCTTATGAGATATTCAAGCTTCTAATGAATATGTTTTTAAATGTGAAACACATCAAGCTCCTCTGATGCCCTTTTGTACTGTTGGATGGAACTGAATTACACATGAGGGCCTTTTCCTGGCCTCCCACATACCTGTTTGGTGTTCCTTCTAAGGCATTCACAGAGACCCCTATTATAGACATTGAAGGATGATAGAATGAGTAGAGGCAGGCGATGTCTAACCATCATTTTAGTGGATAGCCTTGAGCCAAACAAAAGCCTCACCTCAAAGAACCACATGGGCTCTGGCTGCCACTGTGCAGATGGTGGTAATCAGTGAAGTATGCACACAGATTGTTCAAGTGGCTTTTCAGAGACTGAAGAAGGGACGGGATAATCGGCCATTCTGAGTGCAAGACTCAGCAAGGCAGAAACTTGTCAGCAGGACTTTTCAGGGCTGTGGTCAGGATGGACGCATGCTTGGAGAGGGCAAGTAAGAGGTGGGCAGAGAAGGATGCCAAGTGTCTGAGGATAAGCATCGGGAAAATTGTAGTTTAGTTTCTCAATTCTGCTTATATTTATAAAAGGAGACAGGAAAGTTGTAGACTTAGAGTTCAAGGAGCCTGGGGGACAGGTGAGACTATCGGAAATGGGTGCTGGGAGAAGAGAGCATAGAGTTCTCTGTAGTAGAGAAATTTACAGACATCAGTGGTTCTGCACAGGTGAAGGGGAAGGTGCCTGGCAGCAGAACTTACGGAGTGAGGAAAAGAAAGGGCAACAGTGGCCTTGAGGAGATGCTTTCACTTCTGAACCAGGCAAAGAACATTGAAGAATGGTCAGGAGAAAGCCTGGCCTGCAGTCATTGAAGCTGTGAGGAATGGCAAGGTGGCTAGGATGCCATGAGGTTTCTGATTGGGGTGGAATTGCCCTCTGCTTGCTCTGTAGATAATAAGATGGCAGGTAACCAGAACAGGAAGCTGGAGGTTGTAGGGTGCCAGGGAAGCCATCAAATCAATAGAAACAGAAATGACACTGTCTTGGACTCTTCTCCTAGAAGAGATGGTCGATGGAGTCAGAAAGTTGCAAGTCTTTAGAACACGAGAGGAGACTGGCCTGGTGACTTCCTTCCTGGTCATTGGATGATGCAGCTTTAGTGTCAACTGCACTGTTTCTAGATCAGAACTCACAAAAAAGCCCCCAATTCTGGCTGCTCTTAGGACACCAGAGCCTCTAGCTGCATGGAGCATGTGGTGCTGAGTGTAGGTTTGCTGTTGTTGTCTTTAAGGGGTGACATAAATACCTTTCTGGGTTGCAAAGCCTCCATCTGTGTCCTTTACCATGCAGACAATGAGGTGACACTTGATGGCTATTCATGGGTAACCTCAGCTGCTATTCCAACATCACACCTACTCAATATATTTACCGTGTCTTTTGGGTCTGAGTTAACCTGAAAATTAAAGTGTGTGTGTGTGTGTGTGTGTGTGTGTGTGTGTGTGTCTGTCGCGGGGGGCGGGGGGCACACACACAAAAGCAGCCTGTTCAGCAGCTTTCTAACAAATTGCAGCATATTTAAAGTGAGTCTATGCTATTCATTTGGAGTTGTATTGTCTCTTCGAGGTGTGTTAGAAACACAAGAAGGGTTTCTAATCGGTCAGTGAAGCACAGGCTCTGGTCTGGTTACAATAGGACCACACACAGTTTGTGAAGAACACACTCATGTAGACCTATTTGCATACATCTTTATATTACGTTCTAATTAACATTAACTAAGAGTAGTTTTAACTGTATTTGAATTGAATGCTGTTTTTATAAACTGTCTTGATCTTTCAGCCAAGCCAAAGCCATGTACTCCTGCAAAGCAGAACATAGCCATGAACTGTCCTTCCCCCAGGGGGCGATCTTTTCCAACGGTGAGTACTCCTGTCATTTACTGAAGTGACTTGGGAGCACTGAGTTAGGACAGCATCAGATTCCAAACCCCGATTCTTAGGTCTTCTAGATCTCAGCCTTTCTTGTGGGAGCATTTACTCACTTGTGTTCAAAGAGAAAGAAACAAGGCAGACATGGTAGTGCACTCCTGATGTTGGGGCAGGGGGATTGCTAGCTAGACGACAGCCAGAGCTACATAATGACTCTTACAAGGCTAGTCTGACAAGTACACTTTGTTTACAAAAATAATAGAGGAGGGGGGTGGTGTTTTAGACAAATATAGTTTATCTAATTGATTATGTGAGTACAAAGAACCTTCCAACTTTAGAGGGGCTATATCTCAATAACCGGAGTGAATAGATTCTAAGGTGATCATTAGTTTACAGGAATTATTTGAAGATAGTGTCACGTGAGTAACATTTATTTGTTTCTTCCCTTGACCAGTACACCCATCAGTGGAGCCAGGGTGGCTGAAGGCGACTTATGAAGGCAGAACAGGACTAGTCCCTGAAAACTATGTTGTCTTCCTCTAATAGTATTAGTGGATGGCAGTATCTTCATGGTATCCATGGTAACACATAATAAGTGCTATGATTTTATCTGACACAGATATGGGGACCAGCCACTAAATGAAAACCATCTGTTTGTCTCAAGTTCTTCACCAGCAGACTATGTAGCTCCCACTGATGGAAAGAGAACCACAAATATTTACATCACAGCCATTCCTTTTGGCTGTTTTCTTACTTTTAAAATAATCTTGCTTTTTTATTTTTTGATAAGAAGTGATTTTTGACAGAGTCTGTTCTCTAGAGCTGCAGAATCCCAGATACTGAGCTCAGTTCTACACACTGCAAATTTGGAAGTCAGAAACCTGCGGTACCCATGCTGACGTCTGTTGTTCTGCATTGTCTGGTAGTTTCTGGAGAACCTCGAAATCATTATTTTAAAAGTATAATTTAAATTGTACACTTATTATTTTTGTTTCTTAAAAATATACTGTTTTTATGTGTGGTTGTTTTGCTGGTCCTAAACATTTCAAGAAAATCAGTTGTTGTTTTATCATAACTTTATTTTTATTTGTTTCCTAAGATGTTAGTATTTGAAAGCAATAATGTATGTGAGTCTATAAAGAAAGCTGAGTTAAGTCAAACACTGATTCCACCATAAGCAATCTACCCAGATGGCTTCTGTGGGTTCGGAGGAAAAATCTACCAAGTGTGTCTGTAAAGCCTGAGACTAAATAGTTTTGTGGCAGGCTAGATTTGACTTGTGAACCACAGATGAACAACTCCTCCTTTAGAAGTCATGGAAACCTATCTTGGGACTTTTACAAATTTTCCCATTAAAACACACGGGCTAATAAATCCCTTGTGCACATTTTCTGCTCCCTAAGCAGCATTGTGACAGTACAGGGAGAATCATGGGCAACTGTGAAGGTAAAGTGTGGCATACAACCTGCAATGCTGAGTGTGGCGTACAGCCATCACCTGCAATGCTGAGTGTGGTGTACAGCCATCACCTGCAATGCTGAGTGTGGTGTACAGCTGTCACCTGCAATGCTGAGTGTGGCGTACAGCCGTCCTCACCTGCAATGCTCAGTGTGGCGTACAGCCGTCGTCACCTGCAATGCTGAGTGTGGTGTACAGCCATTGTCACCTGCAATGCTGAGTGTGGCATACAGCCGTCACCTGCAATGCTGCAGTCTTCAGGTATTTTAATGATGGGGAAGTTTTGGCCTCTGAGATGGTCTTATACAAATGATAAGGACATTGTTTGGAAATTTGAATTGGGAAGCTGTGCCTTCTAAACCTTGTTTAATTGAAACAGAAAACAAACACCAAAGGACTAGATTCTTAGGCCACAGAGTTTGAATATTTTAAGATTTATTTATTTATATGATATTTTGTTCACAGGTATGTATGTAGTACATATGTCTTTTACCCATGAAGATCAGAAAAGGGAGTCAGAGAGCTTTGAACTGGAGTTACAAATGGTTCTGAGTTACTACGTGGGTGCTGGGACTCGAATGCTGGTCCTCTGGAAGAGCAGCGGTGCTCTTAACCACTGAGCCATCTCTCCAGCCCCAAGCCACACAGTTTGAAAGCTTCATTAGCAGGAATGAAATGTACAAAGGTTTTCTTTCTCTGAATTCCACTGAATTACAGAACTCATAGAAGAAAGAGGTGTTTACTCTCCAGTTATAGGTCATCAACAAAAGGTTACATATCAGCCATTTCTTCTATCATAATCTATTTCAACAATTCCAACATATAATTTCTATGAGTGTCTACAATAGGAAAAAGCCTTTATTCTCCATAGTCTAAAAAGTTGTCTCCCCAGACCCACTGCACTTGGCCTTGGTATTTAACAGATTCCTTCAGAGTTTTCACTAGTTCCTAGACACTCCAGTGTTTAAAGGTGTGTGTAGCTATGTTTATATGCCACAGCCTATAATCTCAATCCATTCTACATTGCATCAGTATTTCTAGAGATAATAGGCTGAACATATACACAGCACTGTGCCTCAGGACATTTATGCTGTTAAATGAAATAAAATAATGAATTAGAATGAACCAGTAACAGTAGACAGACAGATCCATCCAGAAATAGCATCAATGAACTAAAGGCAGTGAATGGAAAACAGCTCATAAAGATTATGGTGTGATGGGAAACTCTGAAGGAAGTTTGGATCTTCCTCTTTCCTCCCAGCATTGTTCCCTGTGCACTGCAGTGAGGTATTGTGAATTCCTTGGTAGGTGGGTGCCTGGTGGCTTAGTACACCAGGGTCGTTGCTGTCACTGACGACCTTTCCTGGGACAGAAGGTAGCCTTCATAACATCCTAGCAGCCTGGTCTACACCCCCTTGTCATCACCCATTTGCATCATGCTAGACCACGATCCATGAAGGGAAGCTGATTTGCTTTCAAAGACCAACTTGACAGCAAAGATCCAGTGTCTTCCTCTGCTGCTGCTGTGCAAACAAATCTCAACTTTCATTTTATTTTAACAGACCAGAACATTCCCACCTCCCTTGCCTGTAAGCTAAACCTATGATGCTCACTGAGGGCTTAGAGCTTTTTCTATGTAGGATGTGGGTATGAAATCAGCTCTCTTTTCTAATGGTGAGATTTACTCTGTGTCATTATTTGTTGAGGTTCCTTCCCTAAAACAAGACACAAACATGCTGGTTCATGTTGCACTTGTGCTTGAAGTTTTAATCTTTTAGATTTTTTTCTTTCTGTTAATTACCTGTGTAAGGAAATCGTGACAATATATTGGAAAGAGGTTAGAGCCGCTTTCCCCATGAAGTAAGTATCCTACAAATGAAGCATTCAGGAGCACTGCAAAGACAAAGACGTATGCTCTGAAGCCACAGAAGGTTGCTGTGTGGGAGAGCATTGCCAGTCAAGGAAGAGTCATGCCCAAAACTGGGATGCCATTGAAGCAGTGAAGAGCGTTACCTGTTCAGAGACAGTGGAACATGTTAGAACGGTCATATCCTCACTCTGAACCCTACACGAAACAACATGCACCCAGATAACTGCTTACAGTGTGAGGGTGGCGTTGAGGGTCTGATATAATCACCGTGGGTGATTTGTGCATTTGGAACACTGATGTATTTAACAGGTGACTCTTGGGCTAAACCATCGTTCCACTAAGTTTAGTTCACACACATTAGTCATTCAACTGAACGATTTCCTGATGTATTGTGTGTCAGTATCTGAAAAGTAAAATAATCTTTCTATTTGTACAGTGTCTGTGCAGTGTGAAGAAGCGTAATCTCCGTGTGTATTGGTTTGCTTTGCTTTGCTACAGGCATGAATGAAATATTCACCAGTAGCCCCTTTGATGACTGACTCCTCCAGGGAGAGTGGATTAAAGAAAGGACATAAAAATATACTTTATATTTCTCATAATCCCAAACTATCCAGGCCCCAAATAATGAAGATAAAAATACGTAAAACCTCCTCCATTTTCTCTTCAGTAGTTAACCTTACATGTTATGGCTGCCTACTGAACACCTGCTATGTTGGGAATAAACAAAATCTCTCTGTGCTTCTGTGACTATTCCCTGCTGCTGACCTTGTTCCTAACCACTGGCCTCACATATTTGTGTTGCACAGAGGCTAAGTTAGAAAAGCCATCAGGCGTCAACTCAGAGAACTTTAATCTGTAGTGCAGTCTGAGCACACTTTATCTACAATTCTTGGGACCCAAGTCTTTTAGATTTTGGATTATTATATATAAATGAGACATCTTATATTCTTGGAGATATTCTAAAATATGCAGTGATTATGGGAATGGGACCCAGGTCAAATCGGGAGACTTATTTCTGTTTCATATATTTTCTATACATAGTCTTAAAGTCATTTCAAGCAATATTTTTAATTCATGTACTGAAATTTCCAGTTGTAGCATCATGCAAGTGTTTGGGGTTTGGGGTTTTATGATCAGAACTCCTTGCCTTTGTACCAAGCTTGTAATGAGGGAGCCTTAGCAGCTAGAGTTCCATATGATTCACTATCCAGTGTGTTGACTAACACCAGGAGCATGCAACCTTAGGAACAGAATCTGTCCTTTAATTTACAACACATTAGTCACTTGTTGCTCTTACCATGACCTCATATCACCGGGTAAGACATGGAAATCATCTCTCAGTAAAAACAACAACAGGCTTGACTCCTGTTCAAAAATTACATTCCTGGTGACCATAGATGTTCCCCTAAGGGTTGAAATTTTACTTCTTTTGTTTTACTTTTGCTTTTCAAAATCAAAACACTTTTTAAAAATGAGATTAGTCTGTTTGAGCAGTCTACTCCAGCCGTCTGCTCTCTTTGATTCAGAGTTAATAACAGGTACTTATCAACTTGCTAAACACATTTAATGTGTTCATCCATTGTTATCATTACCTTCCCACTTCAAGTGGCAATACCTTTGGGAGAAGAGATTTATGAATGACACAGAAGATCAAGTCATTGAGTGATACTTAAAAAATGAATGGTAAGAGAGCCACACCCATCTTTTTATGAAACCATAAGTAGGAATGCTGACAGTACTCACTGGAAGATGCTTGGCAAGGAACTAACCTATATTTGTTCCATCAGTGTTTGTAAACTTCCCTATAGACTAGGGGACCAGCAGAGTATGACTTCATTCCTCATGACATGACATGACTCATGACAGATAGGCCACAATTTAGGATGGGTATTTCTTGGGGTTATAGGGAGAGGTAGAATCTTGGTGCTTACTGGACTGACAGTCAAGGAATCATTCGTAATGATTTGTGATGTTCTTGTGGAGGTCTACTTGAGGAAGTGAAGTGTGGGAGGGAGTTGGAGCTGAAGGTCCCTGGACAACCTCAGTTAGATGGTGGTGTTCTTGCCTTCACACCATTGGCCATCTCTCATGAGTACTTCCCATAGTTTGCTCTTCCATGGTTGACATGGAAGCCATGCCTGAACCCACTCACCTCTGATGGAGTTTCTGTGTGCCCCAGTATGTCCTCTTCCACCTACATTTTAAGGAAATGACTTGTACTCCGATGGGTCTGAGAGCACTGCCTGTTCATACTCTGTGCTTAAACTCCACAGTTCCAGCACACACTGCAGGATGGAGGAGTTTCAAGAGTCCTTGAACTCTGAGATGAAACCTTTATGAGTAGTCTGACAGAGAAGACACCCGAGGCTTTCATTGAAAATCTATTTATGTACTGTTCAAGTCTATTTAAAAGTCAGATATTTAGGTACTAAACCAGGAGTTTCTTTGCAGCCATTAACATGCAGAATTAAATAATAAATGTTGTGAAAACTAGTCAATAAATTATGCTGAATTTTTTTTTTGCTTATTTTATAGTATTTCTGTATTTATCGGCACTCAGTATTTCTAGACATGCATACATATGTGAACATGTAAATACCTTCATGTCATTCCTAATCCAACTTGCCACAATAGCTTTGCTGCATGTTTATACTGTGTCTCAAATGACTTTAAAAATAAACCATATAAGCACATTTCAACTTAGTCTTTGCACTTGAAGACCCACTCCATTGAAGAGTAGCTTTCTTGACTCCATGTTGAGGAAAACCAAGGTTTCCAGTCAGTTCTGTCAACTATCATTTTTTATTTAGTTAAGTGGCAAATCGTAGGAGTGCTTGGTGACCTTCTCTTGATAAGTAGGACAAGAGATTAGGAAAATATTTCTCATGATCTCAATAATGCATATATCTTAGAAGAGAGCAGAAATGGACCACAGAAGAAATGTTAACTATAACAGCTTGACTCGGAAGTTTGTTTAAGATACTTTGTGTTCACAAGCATTCACCAGGGCACTATGGAGGAAGTATCGTTGTGTAAGCATCCTTTGGGGTTGGAGAAATTTCTTGAGTTTTAGAGTGCATAATGATCTTCCAAAGAACTAAGTTCAGATCCCAAAATCCATGTCTTATAGAGGAGTAGCAAAGCATTAGACAAATGACCATCTTAGACCTTCCAGTTCAGCCCAGGGTCACATGAATTGAACTAAGCTGAATGAAGGGCCCTAGACAACTCACTTGTATATCTATCTTCTCAACCAAGCCATGCCAAGTTTGTGGCAAAGTCACAAAATAATTATTGTAAGCCACCAAAATTTAGTGTGGTTTGTTATGGAGCAATACAAATGAAAGTGGTCGTTGTGGGGCCAGGGCCTTAGAATTCCTTAAGCTCAGGCTGGGGAGATAGTTTGATGGGGAGATGGTTGTGCAAACATGAGACCCTCAGTTGAAATACCCAGGATGCACATAAAACTGGGTGCAATAGTCCAAGTGCTCTTATGAGATGGGAGGAAAAGAGAAGAATCACTGGAAGTTCATGGGCTAGCTAGCCTGGTGGTGTAATGGTGAACACTAAAGAGAATTTGCCTCAAACAAGACTGAAAGCAAGGAACTGAGGACCAGAGTTGTGTATCACATGCATACCTGCACTCACACACCCAAATCTTGAATGTGTAAATACCACACACACACACACACACACACACACACACACACACAGTACATACACAGATACACAGAAACACATATATACATCATGCACATACAAAAGATCATTTAAGATAAATTCCTTAATCTCTTCTGCTCTCTGGCTGCGTATAGTAGTGACTGATGCTTGTCTTCTCACATTCTCATTGTTTTCTTTTTCTCTTCAAGTTCTTAGTAGAAGATACAAAAGCTGAAAATAAAGTTTATATTTCCTAGCCTCTTTTGGTGCCTGACCACGTTGGTGGGGAAAAATACATGCAACATCCTTGTTAAGGACAGGAGACCTCATTCTCCAACTTGCTGCTGAGACAAGGAACAATTTTGTGTCACAAAAGTTTGTACAGTTCAGATTGGGGAAACAACAAAATAGGACTGTGCATCTTTGCATGATTCCACAGAGGAGAATGGCATGTATAAACTTTTGACATTGCAACATGATACCATTGTTTACGGAGTTTGTGCTTGAGACACTCACAATGGGGCTACAAAAAAAGAACACCCCCAAATGTCATAATATCTATATTTTATATCCTTGGGCACATGTGGTCTATTGGCTTGTTACATGAAAGAGAAAGATGTATGCTAAATCTATTTTGCTTAGAATCTGTTCTCTAATATATGTATTTGAATTGTTATGTCAACTATTATGTTAGAGTTTCTACGGTCTCATCATCAGGCATCAGTAATGAATAAGGGAAGTTGCACATGTATCATCCCACAGGCTGCTCTGATGGGGAACTGCCATGAGTGAAACTTGGAAGGAGATATGACCAGCTGCTTAGTTTGAGGAGTTAATTATGAGCAAGTATGGTCCCACAGGTGATAAGAAGCTGTGTAGTGCTGCAGGGTGTTTATGTGGCAGGATTGAGGAATACGTCTGTATCTTGTGTCCTTCTTGACTGGGCATGGCCTTCTTTACTGCAAACCCTTTCCTGTGGTTCCATTGAAGGATTTCATGCCTGGATTACATATAACCATTACCTATTTTGAGTTCACCAGGCTATGAGTGCCATATAACCACATCCAATGAGCATAGGAAGGAACGCTATATGAGTTAATTACTCACTATCTGGGCCCCGCTTCCTCTAATTAATCCTAGAACATCTATAGGTCTGTTTGAAAGCCATATCTCTTGCCTTCCTTACAATGTGGGCGTTGTTGGATACTGTTTCCACCAAAGGGACCCAAGCAAAAATTCTAAATGGCACATTTCCAGGGAAAATTTGGGTTTTAGTAGGGGCTACCCTTCTTCCTCTTGTGGTCCTTCTGCTCATCCTGCCTAGAAAACAGATGAGAGGCTGAAGATGGAGCACCCAATTTGTAGCCCTAAAATTAATGCAAGAAAGGTCATACACAGAACCCAGGCTAGTTACAAATTGCTTATTTTATGAGGAAAGACAAAATAACTCAGGTAAATACTGCAGCAGTGTTTATGTTCAGCTTGAAAATACCTTGCTTCCCTGTCAATCTATTAAATCATTCCACACAATCAGAAAAAAGAACTACATGCAACACAATTTCTGAGAACCACTTCGTTTCACCCATTTTAGGAAGAGCTAGAATTCTGATACAGGAGAGTCTGTATTTGTGAGTTATGACTCATCTATGTAACGCATTTTAGACCTTCACTTAGCTTGTGCTTCCCCTCAGAGAGGTTGAAACCATCAACGTCATGTCACAATTGTGTTTTGTTTATAGTAAGGACATTTATGCATAATGAATGAGACCATAAGCCTTTTGTTTGTTTGTTTGTTTGTTTGTTTGATTAGTTTTTCGAGACAGAGTTTCCCTATGTAGCTTTGGAGCCTGTCCTGAATCTTGCTCTGTAGACCGGGCTGGCCTCGAACTCACAGAGATCCACCAAGTTTCTGCCTCCCAAGTGCTGGGATTAAAGGCATGAGCCACTGCTGCCTGGGTATAAGTCTTTTTAAAGTGTTACTCATTGAAGCGAATGCCCATGGCATCACTATTGCCCTAGATAAAGTATGATCTACATGGTAAATGACCTCTAGGGCTAGTTTTAGACACCCACTTTCAGGAGGGCATCTGTTTCAGGTGGGCAAGGTGGACTTGTGGACAGAAAGGCAAAGGAAGATGTTGGGGCTAGGAAAGCTGGGTTTGGGGGGCAGTGGGAATGACGGAGAAAGAGGAGGGCACTTAGGGGCAGCCTCGTGTCAGATGAGGACCATTTAGGACCAGTGTGCCGTGACATGTTGAAAACAGTTGCAGAGGGAGTCTTCCCTCCCAGCTCCCATGGGCACTGCTGCGAATTCCCATGCTGGCCCTGAGAGTGAGACCAGCCCAGTGTGTGGGGGGGGGGGCGGTTCTTAGCTGCATAGGAGGATTTGGCTCAAAACTGCATTTCACAGTATGAATTAAAAAGACCCGTGTTTCCAGGAGCATGGGGAACCTCACATGAGACTCTCACGTTCCTGCTGAGTGTGAGGAAGTAAGAGTTTCAAACACTTGGTTTCAAAGCCCCCTTGTCCCGGTGGAGGAAGGTGACACTTGTTTAAAACCTTGTTGTACTGCTAGTAAATTTCAGCATACAAAAAATTGGTTCTGTTTTCACAGTAAGCAGCCTGACTGGTAGCTAGTGTCTCAATAGGTCAGAGCGCAATATTCTCATTTCCAAACTGACCTACTCTAAGAGGGAAGAAGCAAGTCTAATCCAGAAGGAAAATGTAGATCTGCTTGTGGGAGAATGGGCCAGGAGGCAGACTGGGGCCATATCTCTCTTCTTAAGCCCATGCATGTTCCTTTTGATAGGCATAAAGTCTGCCAGTGCCTCATTTTCCACCTGGAGAGTGCAGGGGTTACAGATGCCTGCTTTTCCTCAGGACTGCTTTCTTGCATGAGTTAATGCTTGTAGGATGGTCAACACAGGAGCAGGAAGCTTGTCAGATGTTAGAAGTCAAGCTGGCCTTGATGAGTGGCATACCCTGTGATCCAGCACTAAGGAGGGAGGCAGAGGGCATAGGATCAATTGCCACATGTTCACAGGATTGAGGCCAGCCTGGGCTACACAGTGGGACTGTCTCCAGAAAAATGTTGGCCATCAATGAAAAGATAAGGAGTTATTAATAGTTCAGCTATAGTTGAAAAAAAGAGAGAAAGCATGCTAAGTTAAAATCTTATTCTCACAGTATGGGATTCCCTTGATGTTATTTAAAAACTATTTCTGGTACATTAGTTATCTAAGCCTTGACTTTCATCATTAATTTTATTGTTCTTATTTCTCTTTATCTTAAATTTAGGGATTTGGGCTAGTTTCATGTATCTTCTTTGTAGTTGCGTGGTCACATGGGAATTATCACATGTTAAAGTTGTATTTTATGGAGCAGATGTAACAAACACTGGATTTAGGTCCTTCAGAAACACTTCCTTCTTCCTGAAGCTGGCTTGGCTGCATAAAGGGAGATGGAAGGAGGCAGTAGTGTGTAGATATCAATACACACTGAACTTATGGAACTTCCAAAGAATAAAAACATACTGCTAATAAAAATGTGGCAGAGGAGAGGGTAGTGAGGAGATTAACCAAAACTAAGGCTTCATGAAAAAAAGCCTTAAGGAAAGCCAATAGACTTGAAAAAAAGGAAACTAGCTTGCATGTGTGGCAGTGTCCTTCCTAGAAGACATGAGTTATGAAATTAAAATCACAGTGTAAGGCATGGGATGCCTCCTTTATGAGTTATTGGTCATGGTGACCTCATAGGTCCCCAAAACAACTCAGGATATTGCCACTGCCCTTGGTGAGCAAACATGGCTCCTTGGTAAAACTCTATTGGTAAAGACACTTCACACTTTGGCTGAAGGACATAGAGAA